CCTTTTGCTCGTAATATCACGTATGACGTTGACATTACAAATGGCGATCTAACAAAATGTCGTAAAAATTCACTTACGAAACAAATGACTTGCAGTATTATTACTATTGGTCTGAATACTGTCATGGCGCTGATACTTTTGATGCATCTGTGTGCGCAGCAGTGTGTGTATTCGGTATTACTATGGCGGGTCAACAACAACATAAGCACGATGTGAAGTAAACGAAAGCTACTTCACCTGTACAAGTTCCGAGTGACTTAGTAGTGCAAGAGGCTTGGTGGTCTTGGGGGTATGAGGCAAGCCTAGGACCCCAGGAATACAGAGGGCCACCAGGAACAACTTCACAATTCATCAGGAAGTTCCAAATTTATTATCAGTAAGAAAGCCTCGTGGTCTAGGGGGCTAAGACACTAGACCAGTAATGCGGAGATCGCAAGTTCGAGTCCGCCGGGCGGCAGAAGATTTTTGTCAACAGCTGAAAGAGCCACCTGGTAACGAATTTTTGTAGCTGCACTAGTAAAATGAAGAGGCTGGGGGTTATGAGGGAAGACTAGGACCCCAGTAATATATTATGGCACCAGGAACAACTTAACAATTAATCAGGAAGTTCCAAAATTATTATTAGTAAGAAAGCCCCGTGGTCTAGGGGGCAAAGGCACTAGACCAGTAATGCGGAGATCGCAAGTTCGATCCCACCGGGCGGCAGAAGGATTTTTTCTCAGCAGAGCCATCTGGTAACGAATTTTGGTAGCTGCACTAGTAAAATTTTTTATTAGTGTGGCAGCAATTTTTAGTTCCAAATTTTGCCACCGAAAATTTTTCTCAGCGCTGTAATAATTTTTAGTTCCGAATTCCTCCGATAGATGGCACAACAATGCACTCTGAAGACTTTTAGTACCATTTGTCGATAACAGATGGCGTATGAATGCACTTAAAACACGCAAAAAATTTTATTAGCGTGGCAGGAATTTTACTTTGTACGCTAAATTTCTCATATTTCGTAGTTCCAACTCCTCCACTAGATGGCACAGGCATGCACTCAAGGAAATTATAGTACCATTAATCGCCAAAAGATGGCGTATGCATGCACTGAAAATAGTGGAAAAAAATTACTAGCGTGGCAGGAATTTTACTTTGTACGCTAAATTTCTCATATTTCATAGTTCCAACTCTTCCAATAGATGGCATGAGCATGCACTCAATGAAATTATAGTAGCATTTACCTGTTAAAAACTACAAAATGTGGTAAATCTGCTTGAGACATCTGTCTGACATTTGTAACACAACATGTTTGACTTTAGAGGAACAGAGCTTTCAAAATAAACAATAATTCTGCTGCAGACTACATATTTGTGTGTTGCATATGCAAATTTTTGTTTCCTATTACCTTTAATTGATATCTTTTAAGCAAAACACAATATACAATATGTCTGCACATACTGTGGGAATTTCTTTGCATAAACCCCATATAGTGGGGCTGAAATGAAAAATTAGCTAGTGCTCTAAAATGAACAGTATGGAGTATTGCAAATGAAGCTTCTACTAAAATCATTTTAAAAAATGCATTTACATGGAACATTTACCTACTCACTTTTGGTACTCGTCACAGATGATGGCAGACACTGCAATAATAAGCAACAAATAAATATGAGGGGCAGACAAAAAGTTCTCGGAATTGTAGTATAGCACTGTAATGGTAGGACATATGGTAACGCTTACCTAATCACCTTCAAAGTAGGACCCTTGCGCACGCGCACACACACACACACTTGTTACATCGATCCTGCTATTGTTGGAAGGCGGAAGGCTTCGTTTGGAATCTTCCTGAGTTCGGCCGTCACATTCGATTTGATGTCCTCCATGGTTGCGAAACTCGCCCCCTTGAGGCCCATTTCAGAGCAGGGAAGAGCCAGAAGTCACTCGGAGCGAGATCCAGAGAGTATGGTGGTTGGGTGATGATGGGAATGCTTTTCTCGGCGAGGAATTGCTGCACAACCAGCGATGTGTGGCTCAGTGCATTATCATAATGCAGAAACCACTCACCCTGTCACTTGTCGCGCCGATTCCTCCGCGTAACCTCTGCAACGAACTCATGGTGCACCACACCGTCGATGTCAAAGAATGCCATGAGCATCACTTTTTCCTTGGATCGGACGAGGCGTGATTTCTTTGGTCGGGGAGATGACGCTGTGTGCCACTCCGATGACTGGATGGACTGAGGAAGTACATGATACATCCATCAAGAAACCTGGTTTCTGGGCTCAGATATGAACTCAGGCCTCTGGCTCTTATAGACAATTGTAATACTGTTGAATACCTAAAAATGTAAAATGGCATACTACACACTGCAACTCAAAGAGTACAGACTACACGCAATTTTCCATACAAGGTATTCTACAGTTTTAATAAATCTAGTGTATACAGGGACCTACAGGTCTTTATAAACAAACATGTAATCATTAAACCATTGCACAAAATTTAATAACGAATGTTCTATACTCAGAGTTCTAAATGACAATAAAATTGTAAATAAGCAAAAGCACCTAGACACATGACAACTCAAACCCCATAAAAGCAAAATATGAAGTTTAGCAATCATAGTAGGCAATATAAAAGGCTGAGGCATTTTACATTTTATATTTCTCTGCTTTGATGTTGGGGGCCCTACAAAGCATTTTAAAGTGTGAAGTGCAAGAACAAGATTAACAGGATTCTAATTACTGTAGTCAGTTATGAAAAGATGATTCACTCAGAGGCAAGAAACTAGACCCACATCTTTCAAATAACTGACAATATCACAAATTGGAACATCCGCCCTACGTAATAATAATCAGGAGGGTTGTAGCTGTAATCCTAGCAACTCAGGACATCCAAACTTGACCACATTATAAACTGGAACATGGCTCTATACTAAAACCTCTACTACACATGACTAAAGGACCAAATTTCAAACTCCACGATTAGCTGTCCGCACTTTCCAGGGAAAGATGTGCACAAAGAGGCTACCATGACACTGCCCCTCCATTTATGCAATATGAGAAGTGCATGTGTTATCATCTAAAGAACTATGCCTAGAGAACATAAACACTGACCTTTACCACTTCATATCCTTTGTACATATTGTACTTTGATCCAAACAAAATGATCACTCATTACATTCACTATTCTTGGAGTACACGGCAGCTCATGGGCCAAGACTCTCCTGCTTTCATGTTTTATTTCTACTCTGCATGTACAAATACTGGTATATGAAAGTTGCACCTAGTATCAACATATTACCATCAAAAGCATATCAGATTATGGAAGATTTTCTTTGAAAAAGGAACCTTGCTGTCCAAATAAACCAGCTCAGTAAAATCATTAACAAGTTCTCTGACCTCCGTGGTGCAATCATCCTTTGGCTGCTAATAGTATGCTCAGCTAACCACTGAAATAGAACCTGAATGTTTTCAAAAGCCCATCATGGGCCCCAGTCCAAAGCCAGATGAATCCAATCCACACCACCCAACCCTATTTCAACATTTTCTCGAATTTACTCCTATGTCCTCCAATTTATTTAAATATAAATACGCATAATTAATAATCCAGATATTAGTTGCAGCTGCATAAATGGTAAATGTTTCAGTTTAGCATTCATGCATTCCAGGTGAAAAGTAACTGAAAAATTAAGATTTATTCAATCTAAACCTTCAAATCCGTATTTCTTAAACGTCCATTTTAATCTACTCCTGATGTCACACGCGATCTTTGCTTTTCAATCATTTCAACTAAAATTCTGTATTTATTTCTCATCTCTCTCTCATATTCCGTTATCTATTTTCTCTTGACTTCACAAGACGTACAAAAGAAGTCTGCCCTACATATGAATTTCGATATAGACAAAGGAGTTGTAAAACTAAATAAGCATTAAATCCACTCAAGTTCATGGTTTACTCTTATAACAAGATTTAGTCATTAAATAAGAAGAATGACAAATTTCAATTTTCTCCTTTTATAGTTCCACTGATTATAGTTTAATAGCATCATAACCCCAATAATTTTATGAAGCTTTCTTATTTTGAAAGTTATATGGACAGAAGAACCCAAGCTGTAAATTAGGGCCCGAAGGAAAGAAATCCACTGACAGAAGTAACCGGTCGTACCTGTATTCTAGCACTACAATATTATGTTTCAATACAATTTTTTGTCTAAATAGAACGTGCCAGGAATGGGCTGCACAACTTTTTTTATCATTCTGTATTATGGCAAGAACACAACACTTATGATTGCTTGATTCACAACCCCATGAAGATCAGGTATAGTTTTGTAAACTACATACATTTTAGCAATATAATCCACTCTTAAGCATGCATTACTTTATATCCCACTGCGAAACTGATTTCTTAATTTTCATAGTTTCAACATCTCTGATAGATTAAGTTAGACGGCTAAAAATCTGGCAAAGTTCAAATATCTGGTAACAAATCGAAACTGTATTCAATGAGATATCAAGATCTAATTAAATTCTGGGAATACATACTAGCATGCGGACGAGATTCATCTGGATCAGAATAAGAACCAGTGGCAGTCTCATTTGAACACAACATACCCTCAGGTTCCATAAAAGTTAGGGAATTCCACTAATTGTGTGTGCCAGTAGCAAAAGGGCAGCATCATTAATTACGCTTTGCACAAAAAATCAATTAGTCATATCCTCAATTAGTGAGGCTGTTCTGTAAGTAAATTATGCAACTACCTACATGAGTTAACATACTTTTAGAACTACATGATTTTATGCCAAGATGTATTTATCTTTTTAAACTGAAGGATGACCTCTAGAATTTGGAACTTCAGCTACTGCTTTCAACACACTACATAACAAGAGATATTCCTATCCTCTTAAACTTTTGCAATAACCAATTCCTTCAAAGTCTGAATGTTTGCACCACAAATAGTTTCCTTAAGTCAAAACTTGGCTGAGTTTGATTTGAAGCAAGGGCAAAAAAATTCTCTTCCCCACCATGCCCTCAGAATGGGTCTGGGATCTCTCTGAGAGCTATTTGCCGCAATCGTCCCATTAAGCAAAGAGGCTAAGAATTGAGAGTTACCACAACTCCTCCACACACCTTTCAGGCATGAAGCTTAAGCACAGCCACAACTTTACCTCTTAACCAAAACTCTGTTCTGTAACTGCATCAGTAAAGGCAAGACCACATACTAAAATCTTATCTTACGTTTTACCTTGATCTGGTCTTCTTCCTCCAAGTGTGCTAGACTGATTCATTCTCTCTTCTTCTCTTCTGTCATTATTTACAATGTTGCAGCAAATTCAGTTCCAGTCATACATCAATGCAAAGATGGCTCATGTGTATTACACAGGTCATTCGAAAAGTCACTGTGCAGTTAACCATAATCTGCCAGGATTGCACCATCACATTGCCAGTACCAGTGTTGAAAAGTTGTAAATTACTATATGACCACAAGTGCACAGTGACTTTTGAATGTGCTGTACAACGAACCTCCTTATTTACACATTGATGTTTGTTCACAATTTATATGAAGGACAAAGTCCAACAAAATTTTACACATTGTCACAAACCTTCAGACTTTATTGTGATTCCAGGATTCCAGGCAAGCACTAAACATTTCAGACCACAACAGGTAGCAAGAATGCAGTTTAACCATCACAATAATGATTACGATTAAGAGTTGTATATACTTATTGCTTACTCTCTAGTTCATGGTCGACCTTTGATGACTTTCCTCCATCCACTCTTTATTTAATGTTTAACAAAATAACAGAAGACCATTGATACATATATTTATTCTTCAAGTCTATACACAAACCATTTTAATATTGATGTTTAAAATTAAAATTGATATAAATAATTCGCGCTATTCATCGTTTTCTCGATGTTTAATGCTTGATGAATTTATATAACGATATCCAAACTCTTTTACATATAAATAATATTAATAATGTTAATTATATTGTTGATAATTTTACAGAAATAATGAACAAAATAATATAAACACGCCACATAATATGCAAAGAATCAGAAGATAAAAGGAACATCCACAGCTACAACCTACAATCTACAATTACCGAAAAGCGTGCATTAAAAAATTATTGAATAGTTTTAAAAAATAAACCTGAAGATGATGCTGAGACATCGAAACATGTTGTAATATATAGCGCAAATTGTGACATTGAGAAAACGATGAATAGCGCAAATTATTTATATCAATTTTAATTTTAAACGTCAATATTAAAATGGTTTGTGTATAGACTTGAAGAATAAATATATGTATCAATTGAAAACACAAACATGATGCATCTAAACTATAAACAGAAGACCAGTAATCAATATTTCTTATAACTCACATGTTTGTTTCAGTGCAATTATTTTATCTTTGTACTTAAAATTATTCATTGTCAGAACTTTTTCCATCGTCTGGACCAGTGACAGAGACTAGCTCTATCAAAGGGACCCAACAGAGCAGGTACCTCTCACCTGAAGACAAGAGACAGAACCAGCCTCCGAAACGTCGTGTTTTTAAAGAACAGGCGATGGAAAAAATCCTGGCAATGAACAATTTTAAGTGTAAACTACCATCGTCAAAACCCTTTAGAACTGAATTTATCTTTGTAGTTTGTATCTCAAGTGTAATGTTAATGAATGTAAAGTCGGGTAGTGAATTACTTTATGTAAACAAACTAATTCAATGATTACAAACGTTTACGGTTTTCACTGAACACTTTATCAACCCTGTCAAATATGCCACAAGAACAAGCTTTTTCCTTTGAATATGCATGTTTTAATTTCCTAAATCCTGAGATACAAGTTAAAGATATTATCCAAAATTACCAAGTAATATCTAAGGATGTCTCAGGGGTATACAATACATAAGACATATGTCACATGATATCCACTGAAAATACCCCTAAAGAATGAAAACACATATTCAGCAGCACAATGAAAAAGAGAACTGTGGTAAGGGCTGACAGATAATTATTTTGCATTCAATGTCCCTGACATTTGGATACACTTATTTTCAAAATCTGTTAGCATAAACTGTAAATTGAAAATTACTAAAAATCAACTATAAAGTAATGATGTATGCAGTACTGACTGGACTAACAGAGATACACAATTTTCCAATGGTGGCCAAAGACAACACAAACAACATTCCATGTGATGGCAATAAGAAAGACAGTTGCCTGAAACACCTTTGGCATCAATTTATACCAACTTAATGTTATAACCTCACAAAAAATTTTATGGAACCAGTATTAACTATATATCGATCACCTATAATCTGAATTCTGCAGTCCTAAGATACAAGGTCTCTGATACCACATACACTGAAATTTGATACTTTGACATTTTTCAGTCATTTCACAGTGAAATGTATTTGTAACACTGCAAATGTTATGTTATTAGTTAACAAATGTCACTTAGATGACCAAATGAAAGTGGAAACATCATCAACTCCTATCATTTCATGGACTATTGTCCTGTAACTGGCATACAACTTGATACGTCACCAATGTCACAATTCCAGGAAACAGATTAAAATATATTAAATTAATTTTACCTACAGTTTTGGATGTGTGTAAAACCCAGTCTCTCATGTCAAGTGAAGAACATGGAATGAGTTTGAGAATAGCATGCTTAGAATATTTGGACACAGGAGTGACTAAGTGAGAGGAAGCTGGAGAAAACTGCATAATGAGAAGCTCCATTAATTTGTAAACTTCACCATATACTAAGATGATCAAATCAAGGCCAAGAAATGTAGAGAACATTTTGGTTGGAAAGCCAAGGGAAAAGATCACTCAGAAGGTGTTAGGATAACTTAACACCCTGTGGCAAGCTGTTGTGAATGCTGTAATAAACCTCCAGGTTCCACAGAGGTGGAAAATCAGAAGATCAGTGTGTGAAATTACTGCTACACAAATGCCATTTCTTTGATACACTATTAATTTAGAGCAGCATGTCACTGATATTCTTCAGTCCTTTTCTAAGTGCATTCTAGAAGGGGAAAAGTTATTTTACAAAAGATGGTGCTACAGCACACAATGAGAATTATTCAATTAATTTTTTAAACAAAGTACGTTATTTCAGATTCATAAGCTGCATATTGAGGCCTGAAAGTTCTCCAGAAATTTGCAGTGGTTTTTATCCATGGGGAAATCTAAAAGACAATGTGTATTCAAGCAATCCCCACACACTGGATGAACTTAAGCAAAACATTTATGAAACAATTACTTCCTCCAAAGTCAATGAATTCAAATTAGTTTCAAACAACCTTTCCAAGAAACTTGACATTTCTTCAAGAGCAGGGAGGCATTTTGAGCATCTACTGCTTTGGTGAGTATTTTAGACAATTTATTTATATTCAAAAATGCATGTAGGTAAAAATGTGCAGCACATTAACAACACAGGGCTCCTTTTTCTCAACACATGATGGGTGAGCTGCCAGTGCACAGGCCAAAATAAAAGGGTTGGGTTATTCGGTCAGAGGAATTCCACACAGAGGAACATTGCTGTGAAACAACGCAAATCAGAAAGTTTGATTACCTAACCACAGGATCAGACACACCACTTTCATTTTTTTCCTCTTGCCGCAGTCAAAAGCTAACATGCACACTCACAACAAAGGAGCAGGCTCATGAAGATAGTGAATATTTTAACTTTACAGCCATACAAAATATGTTTAGTTGCTGAGCATGAAGATTATAATAATAATACAATACATATTATAAAGTACAATTCGTACTATTATATAAATTTCACATAATACAAAACAAAGTATTCACCTAGAGAAATGATAAGCTACAAATAGATCTACCCATTACACACAAGAAAAATTTATCACTTATTTGTAAACAACATAAATTCATTGACAGAGTAAAAGGAGTGTGTAATTAAGTATCTTTTTAATGCTACCTTAAATTGCTCCTTCTTATTTACAAGACTTGTGAGATTTGATGGTAGACT